CTGGCAGAGCTGTAAGGCGCTAGGGCTGGAATTGCAGGGGTGCCGCAGGTCAGGACTCAGGTGCATTGGCACAGCGGTGTGTTGGGATCCTAGCCTGGAATAGCACATTCCTTAAACCACATTGGAGTCAGCGCTAAGTCCCCGTCCAAGGGAGCAGAGAGGACTCGCTCCATGTAGCCCATGCATGAACCCTCGCAAGATTCAACTCCCCCGCTTCCTGACCAGAGGCCTGTGAGGCCATTAAGTGCTTCCATCAAATGGTGTAATTGGCTGGACGTCAGACAAGGCAGCCTGTGCATTGTGTGTGGGGGGGGTTGATGGGAGAGGAAGTGAATGAGGTCAGTGTGGCTGGTGGGGGAGGGGAGCGGGGGGGGGGGGATGGAGCAGTGTTGTGAATGGAATGTGATTAACTCCCAGCAGGTTGGCAGGTGGCCAAATACTTCCCGGCTGCTCTGGGATTTCCAGGGAACTTGCTGCAAGGAGAAGAAGGTGAAGTGGGGGTGTCTCCCCAGCCTCGCTATCGGGGGGGCTGGTTGAGGCAGAGGAACCCACCCAAGTGCACGCAGGCTGAGGCGCGCCTGGCCCAAGGACCCAGAACATCGTGTGAGCCAGATGCTGCCCCGCCCCGGTCACACCTGGGGCCCATCATCTCCCAGGATGCAGCAGCAGGCCAGGCCAGAAACCATGTGGCGTAGTGGGCGGAGCACAGGGCTGGGAGCCAGGAACCCCCCCACCCCCCGAGCTCCACGCCCAACTCTGCAGGGACTCCTGCGGCAAGTCACTTACAGGTGGCTGCTGCCCCAGGCGCAGGGAGGGTGACCTGGGGAACGGTTGCACTGAGCTCTGGAAGTGCTGTTCTGTTCACGGGTCCCCAATGGTATAAAGCCTCACGTTGTGTTTTCCCGCACTGGCCCCATCAGAGGCAGGCTCCCAATCCCCCCCTCACGCCTGGCCTTAGTCCTAACGGCGGTGACGTTCGCATCCCAGAACCGCCATCTCCCCGGCTGCTCCCTGAGGTGCCACGGAGCGGCGTCCCGCCCTTGCCAGGGAGACGAGCCCGTACCCCAGAGTCCAGCCCGAGGATGCTGGCTGTCAAGGGGCCTAGGGCCTGACTCTGCTCCCCCACGCTGGTGGAGATCAGGAGTGGCTTCATTGCACCCCGTGGCAGGAGCGAAGCCTCCTTCGCTCCGCAGGGGCCCGAGCCAGGTGCCACCAATCCAACCCCCGCGGTGGACGAGCGCAGTTTGCCCTTCCCCTGGGAAGGAGCCGTCCTTGCAGAGAGAACGGCACAGCCACTGCTGGCCTGTGGCTGCCAGAAGGGTCACGGGCATCAGGCTGGGCACAGTGCGAGGGGGAGCTTGGTTGGCCCTTCACGCCGAACCTTGCCCTCAAACTAACCAAATGCCCAGGCATTAGCCAGAGCCCTCTGGCGCGCTGAGCACAACGACTGCTGCGGGTAACAAAAAGGCCTTTCTGCCCAAGCAGCAGGGAAGAGGAACATCAGGCCGGCTGCTGCAGCCCCATGAAAGGAAAGGCTGTTGTTGTCAGTTGCATCTGAGGCCACGGCTCTGCAGCTGAGCCTCTCCTGTTGCAGAATGCCAGGATGGCCCGGCTCTGCTTCCAAAGCCCGGCTGCGCAGAGAGCAAGGCTCTCAGCAGAGGCGGGAACAAATGCCGAGGGGAGGCAGTGGATTAGTGTGTCTGTGGGCTGGGACTGAGGTTTGCGGTGAAATCAACACCCGCCAGAAAAACCAGTTGCTCTGTGAATTCAGGGCCAGCTGTTTCCCAGCCAGCAAGCTCTCGGCCCTGAACTCAGCGCCCTGGGCTTTCAGGGGGAAAAGGCCCATGGGGTGCAGAGACCAGGGCCATCTGGCACGTGGAGCATGCTGGAGCCTTTTGCCTCGGCGCCAGGCTTCAGGCCGATTGTGCTGGGGTTGAGAACCAGGGCGTTGTTCCCTGCAAGAGTCCCACCTTTTTGGCCCTGCACTGACCGCCATTACCTGAGTTTGTCGTAGTTCAGCCCCTGTGCTTACCACAGCGGGCCAATATTACTGCCACCCTGCGCAAGGCCGGAGCAGCCAAGCAGCAGGGCAATAATTATAGGGCGGGGCCTCATGCAAACCCACATCTCTTGTGGAGACTATATTCCCCCCTCAGTAATCTCCAAAGCTGTGCAAAGCTAAGAGGCTGATAAGGGTTATCAGCGCAGAGCCAGCCTGAGCGCCTATTTACCCTTTCGCATAAAACTGGGCGGAGGGGCCGACCAATGGCATTAAAAGCCAACAGCCAGCCCACTGATAAAACGAGGGTTTGTTTGGGTGTGTGGGGTGAGATGTTTTTAAATGCAATGCATAATTAAACTGTGGAACTCAGTGCCGCAGGATATTACCAAAGCTAAGATGTTAGCAGGATTCATAATGAACTTAGACATTTATTTGAATAGGAACATCCATTTATGGAGATATACACCTATCTCATAGAACTGGAAGGTCATCAAGTCCAGCCTCCAGCAGCAAGACCAAGTATTGATTTTGCCCCAGATAGTCCCCTCAAGGATTGAACTCACAACCCTGGATTTAGCAGGCCAATGCTTAAACCACTGAGCTACTCCTCCCCAAGGTACATTAACTAGGACCAGACATTTATCAGGGAGAGAAACACTCATGATTCAGGGCATGTTAACCTCCAGCTGACAGGGGTCAGGAAGACACCTCCCTATACTGCATTATGGGAGCTCTTACAGCTGTCTCTGAAGCTAGTGCTGGGCACTGTCAGAAATGGGCTACTGGACTAGAGGGCCCATTGCTCTGATCCAGTCTGGTCATGAGCCTAGCGCGTGCATCCAGGTTTGGGACGACCGCTGCAGGGGGAGGTCTGGAAGGACTCACCATGTGCCTGCCTCGCTGAGGCAACTCCTGCAGCTGCTCCCCATGGAGACCTGCCTGTGACGGCAAGGGGCGTCTTGTGGTGCCCAGCCGCAGGATCGGGGTCCCTGTCTGCAGCATCACACACACGGCCAGGTGCATTAGAAGGGTCTTTCATTCCCTGGGTATTGGTATTGGTGGTGGTGGGGTACTGGCCTTGCTGGGCCAGTGGGCCTGACTCACCTCCCCTTGAGCCAGAGTCTCATACCAATGCCCACCACCTGGGTAGCAATGATCACAGAGGGTCAGAGATCACAGGAGGCTGAACGCCAGGCAAAACAAGTCTTTTATTGGCTTGTAAAACATTCCCCTCTTTTGCCCCACTTCCCAGCTGGAACGGCTCCCCCATGCCTGGCAACAGGCCCTGTCCCAAAGCCCCTGCAGCCGAGGGCGAGGGGCTGGCATGCTGCAGGCAATGCTCTCCTAGCGGCCAAGCCAGGGCAGCATTCAAAGCTTGCCCCACAGAAGCCCGTCTCCCCTGGGTGTTTGCCACCATCGCTGCAGCAAGCCTGGGCTTATGCGAACGCCAGGAAACGGCAATGCAACCTGGCCTTGTGTTTCCTCTGCAGTCCACGCCAGGCCCCTTTGATAGCAGCTTATGTTGGCTTTAACCCTGCGCCGCAATCTCACAGCCTGGAAAACAAAGGCCCTCCCCAGCCAAGTAAATGAAGCAATTGCTGATAAGGTGCTGTGCTCAGGCCGTCTCCAGCTGCTCCCTGGCTCCGCCGGGCTAGGAGGATGGCACAAGGAAATGGGACCGTGGCAGCTGGGCTGCTAGGGGTTGGCAGAGGCTGAGAGCTCTGCACAGGAATGTCAGGGACTGGTGGGCTGGAGGAACGTCAGCTGCTGAGCACTGGTGACGAGGGGAGGAGGTGCCTTGGGACGAGGTCAGAGATGCTTTGGGTGCACTGGCAGAGCTGGGGTAGCAGGAGAGCCTGTGAAAGATAGAAGGACAGTGATAGAGCTATAGGGGAAAGCCCAGAGCTGGCCAGGACTGAGG